GTTTGCTTACTACATACTACAAGGCTCCTGTCCTGTCCGCATTTTCTTGAAATAGGCCCGATTGAGTACAACCAGTTTTGGCTTTCACTTCCTTTTTATTCATATGAGCTATGCTGTTGAAATCTTGGCTTCATGCTCTGTGCTTTCTCCTCCCCAGCTGTGACACTATGACATCAAGGAAGAAAGTTCTTCTGAAGGTGATCATCCTTGGAGACTCCGGGTGAGTTCCCACATTCAGCACAGTGCCCTGTGATAAAGTCGAGGCTACTGCCACATTTAGTTTTTAAAGGGATTGTTCACTCTCTTGTTCATTTACTCACCCTGAAGTTGTTACAAACCTTCATGTGTTTCTTTATTTTGTTAACACAAAAGAAGATATTTTGAAGAATGTGGGTAACCAAACAGTTGATGGTAGCCATTGACTACCATAGTATTTTTCCCCCCATAATATTTAGGTCAGTGGCTGATTAAATTGAGAATTTTTATTTTTGGGTAAACCATCCCTTTAAGAATTAAATTTTAGAGCATTCTGTTAAATAGAAGTAGTAGTGTTCATAGATTAAAGATTCAAATAGATAGTGGTGACGGTGCTAAATATAAAGCACCATGAGAAAAAAACAAGTATATTGTGTGAAGTTTTGTACTTAAAAGGGTACAGCAAAATAATAGTAGTAATAATAAAAAAGTAAATAGACAATGTTTTTTTTTTTGTTGTTGTTGTTGATTTTGTTGGTAACAAACATACAGCATGATCAGTGTAGTCTGATTCAGAATTCAAACGTTTGACTCACTCACTTTTTGGATGTTTATATGACAAAAAAATAATCACAAAGTTTTACGTAAAAGGTTTGGGGTCTGTAAGATATTTTAAATGGTTTTGACAGAAGTCTTTTATACTCACTAAGGCTGGATTTATTTGATAAAGTACAGTAAAAACAAATGTAAAATGTGTGTACAATTTAACATGTTTTCCATTTTAATATTAAAGGCACAATATGTAAGTTTTCGCCACTAGAGGGCGCGTATTCAAAACAAACAAAGAAACAAAGGCGTAGTTAGATGACGCTGTGACTGAGTGTGGAATCATGGGAGTTGTCGTCTTCATCCCCACAGCCGATGCAATCCGACGGGACTCGGGCAGAAATCATGTTCATGGATGAGCTAATGATTTATTAACGTAGTAGAATGAAGCAAGGTGAGGCTGAAAGCCGTTGAAGCGAAACGAGGCAGCTGAATGAGCGCGACACATGACTCGAAAGCAGCGGAGCTTTTATTATGCCACACTTTAGCGCTTCCGCTCCTTCTGGTCGTGCGTATGTGGGGTAAAGCAGCGCTGTTTTATCATACTAGATACGTTTGAAAGTTCTGTTATAATGCTACTCTGTGCGGTCGTCAACGGTCAATTAAAACGCACAACATATTAAAGCGTCTTTGGTGTTTCCATGTTTTCTACAAAACAAAA